CCTTAAGCTGCTGTGGTATCGCCTTATCCAACCGGCCAGCGCCTGTCCCACGGGGACAGCCAGGGGACAGGGCACCCGCCCTGTGGTCCCCTGCACCCTGTCCTGGCTGGATGCCTCCCCTCCCTACCCCCCCTCCCCAGGCTGGGGACAGCTTTGTCCCACAAGCTTTGGCTTTCCCTCTTTCCCCTGTAGCTCTGAGGAGGGCCAGCTCCCCGCCTTGTGTCCCTTGTCCCCGTGTCACCTCAGGCTGCCTGCTTACAGCCGTTACGCTCAGCTTGGCTCTGGCTTAAGGGAAAAGGAAAGGATGGGGGGACTGGGTCTGAGCCCCCCCAAGTCCCCAGCTGCCCTGCTGTGGGGGACAGGGTTGGTCCCCCCTGGACTTGGCTGGCACGGGGGGACAGCAGCTCCTGGGGACCAGAGGGATGGAGGGGCAGGCAGTGTCCTGGCCAGGGTGGCAGCCACCACCTGGACTCTTGGCCACTTTCATGCCAGTGCTGGCGCAACGAAGGACTGAAGCTCGGCAGTGTCCAGTCCTGTGTCCTCAGCAGTGTCCCTGTCCCCACCGAGTGTCACCTCTTGGGAGCACCCCCTGTCCCCGGGCGGTGGGGACGGCCATGGCACGGGGGGCACTGGGGAATCACAGTCCCTGGAGAAAGTCCCTTGAATCCCCAGTCAGAGGCTGAGTCCCCAGCCTGGCCTCCCCTTCATGTTGGGCCTGTAAAGCAATAACGACAGTCCTATGCCCGTGGTGTTTCCCGACCTGCGGCAACAGCATCGTCCCTCGCTGGCGTTTCGGCCCCTGCTGCCACTTGCTTGTCTGTGCTGTCCCTGTGTGTCCCCAGGATGTCCCTCTCCCTGCCGCTTTTGGGCAGAGCATCACTGTATGTCGCCCAAGGATGTCCCCTCCCATGTTGCTTCCCAGCAAAGCACTGCTGCATGTCCCCCACGTTCCCCCGTGTTGTCCCCAGCGGTGTTGCTGCCCTCAGAGCACTGCAGCGTGTCCCCCTCAGGCTGTCCCCATCTGTGTTGCTTTCCCGCAGAGCACTATGTCATGTCCCTGTATCCCCCCAGGATGTCCCCATCTGTTTTGCTGCCCTGCAGAGCACCGTGTCACATCCCTATGTCCCTCCAGGATGTCCCCATCCATCTTGCTGGCCTGCAGAGCACTGTGTAACATCCCTGTGTCTCCCCAGGATGTCCCCATCCGTGTTGCTTCCCGGCAAAGCACCGCTGTGTGTCCCCGAGGCGAGCCCTGGCCCGCACCTCCCAGCCAGCAGCC